CAAACGAACGAACATGTAGCAACGCTGCACTCTCGACCACAAAAGAATGAGGTTAACTCTGCTTTCTAATCTCAGTGATCTTACGATATCTTCATGGTTTCTTTTGATATTTTACGTATGACGAAGGCATAACTTTTCACTTGATTTCCGTTGCATTTGTGGGATATTAAGGCATTGTAAAGGTATATAAAAACAATATTGTGTTGCTTTTGAAAACAAATAATAATTAATTATCATTGAGCAAGTGAAATGGTCATCATGTACGAACACGAAGGAAGTGATGTCGCTTATTAAGTGTCCATTATCAAGTCACGAATTTGATGGTATATTCGCTGTGTGTACCTGGCAATTATAGATTTAGTAATATATGCCATAAGATAGCCACCTAAAATCTACATAATAACAGTTGGAATAAATTAAATACAAATATTTAAGTTTGTTTCATTTGTTTGCTGGGTACGCGTATGGCTGCTTAATATGACACTATGTGGTACATAAGAATGAGCATCCATTTGAGAGAGAAGAAGATATAAAATCAACCAACAGATACTTGAATAAGAAAAAACAAATAATAATAATTCGAATAGGAAACCAAAGAAAAAAAAAAGAAAAAAAAAGGACAGACAACCAAATAAACAAACAGTTACAGACAGATAATAAAATAGAATGAATATTGAGACAAAATGCTGAGATAAATGTTTATTCTCTGTGAAAACTCTCTGGCCAATGTAATAGTGCTCTTCGTGTAAGTAACACATGTCAGTATAGATATTTGTAGATATGTAGGTTTAGCTGCGTTTTAAACAAGTCTAGAAGTTCATTGAACTAAGAAGAATAGCTCAGTAAGCACAGGCTACATGCATATCTGTGCACTGGCACACCAAAACCAACGAACCATCCTATACCATCTCAACAATTTTATTCAACTAGTATGCAAGCAATGTAAATAATGATTCTAAGCATATTTAACAACAACATATGTCTGTTATATGTAAGTAAAAATTCACTTGAACAGTAAAAGTAATAAGAGTGTTGTTTAAATTGCGTAGAAAAAACCAGTCAGTTTTAAGATGAACCGGAGAATATTGCAGAGATATTAAATTACAACATCTCGTAGAATGGCAAATGTATTCAATCTAATCTAAATTGCGCTTCAAGCGCACTTCTCGGTTATAAAATGCTTCGTAGTCCTTGTTTTTTCTCATACTATTTCTAAACATTTTATCTAAACAGTGAAAATACAATATTCCCTCGCTGAATAGTGTGTACTTAGTTAAGTACAGATAGAGAGTAAATGTGCTGCAAATTTCTGTATTGAAGATAGATGTTGGCTTTTGTGTGTTTATGGCTTTGTTAACAGTACAATTAAGTAATATTTTGATATTCTTTTGTTTTATTATCCCTTTGCTAAGAACTATAAATTATATAAACAATATAAGATAAGTGTGAAAGAAGCCGCGTGGCACACGACATTTAAACATTAATAGGCATTTGCATACGAACAAGTCCGAACTAATATAGAATTTAAAGAAAATTTGTAAAAAAAATATTTTTTTTTGAAAGTAGAATGTGCTTGAAAAAGACAACTTACATTAAAGAGTTCTTCTAGTTATTACGTAATTTGATAAAACCTGTTTTTGTAGCAGTTGGTCAGTAATAAAAAAAAAAAAAAAAAAAAAAGGAATGAATTCTTCTTAACTCTTTCTCCTGTCCGGTAGTCAACAATCGTCTAAGTATATATTGTGAATGCAAGTTGAATTGTCGATAAGCGTATAGTTATATAATCGGAATTTGTTTCCTTTTCTTTCCATGAAATTTATGATTTACTCGTCCATGTGCGTTGATCAAACATAAATTATGTTATTATGTTTAATGATATCTTCCGAACAGAAATATGGAACTTGAAAGTAGTTTTCTATCAAATGGTGTACGTGTGTACTCGAGCATAGCACCAAGTTTTATATTTATAGCAATTTCTTTGCAAGGTAATAAAAAAAAGAGACTCGTAGAGAATGTTCACTGGATAATTACATGCGTGCATAATTTATGTAATAACATAAAACTGGTTGAGAAGTTAAGAGAAAAAGTCATATAAAACTGAAAAAAGAAGAAATTATTATAAGTATTAAGATCATGATATAGAATTTCGTGGCAGGTACACTAACTCCACTATCGTGCTTGCGAGGAGAATAATTTTATGATAAAATTTTCCAGATAGGTATAGTACGGCAAGTAAAACTTACGTATATACTTACGTATATATATATGTATATATATATATTATAAGGAATAATGTAAGTTGTGGTCCTTTTTATCAGTTTGCTATAGATTTTTCTTCCGCTTATAATGAAAATATAATAATCGATACTAAGATGTTTATTGATGTGATATAAATGACTGTAAACGATGATCGTTTAAACGATTGTCTCAATATATATTATGAACTTTATCAATGATTTTCCGCAGATAGAAACTGCTCTGATGGGAATGTTGGCTAATGACTTTCTCAGCCACACTTAAGAGTGAGTGCTGGTTCTGAATTTACCAACAAAGCGCAATGAAAGGAATTCAAAACAATTTTACGCTTAGAAAATAGATGCAAATGTTCGCTAGCGAAGTATATATCTCTACACAAATTTAGAGAAAAATAGAGATAAGCAGGTTCGAAATTCGATTTCATAAAAATGTTGGAAAGCAAGTGGTGTTGACATATTTGACATGGTATTAGATCATTTCGCATAAGTAGCCGAGTAAGCAGCGGTGAGGATCGCGACTACAGAGTCAGTGTTCGCGGATTCAAAACTTATTGCGGCAGACTTTATCTTTGTCATGGTTATTGTGAGTGCTCAATCGATTGGATGCCGCCACTTCTTCCTCCTTCCTTCCTTCCTTCTTTCTGACCATCATCGCGTTATGTGAATAGGGAACATCCCTGAGTGATTGGTAATTTTAAAAAAACGCTTCATAGCTTACAAATAATGGGTTCTTCTTCCTCTGGTGGTTACGTTGCGTTACTTTAGCTCCATGACGGAAATTGACTTTATATTGTATGAAAGATACATTAAGTCATTTTAAAGGAAAACACATTGATATCATGAAATGGGGAAAGAAAATTGAATAATTGCAGTTAGCGATTGCCCATAGAATTTTATAATTATATTGAAAAATCTTTAAAAGACAAAAAAGGTTGCGAAGAAAAAATGTTGCAACACATTAAATTATGTGTTGAACAAACCATTAAAATTGAGAGTGAGGCCAAAAATTGTGCCGATTGGTTTTTTGAAATTTTGATAGCAAGACACCTTTATAAATATTGTCTTATAATGTACTTGCATATATCGTCTATATTTTAAATCATATTTTTCTTACAAATCGTATTTACTTACATCGTTTTATTTATAGATGTTTGTATTAATGAAAACTGAAATTTGCACTCCCCTAAATGAAATCTTTAGAGATTATTATCTCGGAATAAGCGAAAATTATCTTTATTAACCTTAGACCAATGATAAGATCAACTAGGAACTAAGTCCTCTTTTTTCCACGAATTATTCAAATTGAAATTATGTGTTGAAAAGACAGACAGTTGTACAAGTGACTACATCGATTTCGCTGTCACGTTAATTAAATAGAGAGCGTCCCAAAATTCACGCAAAATTTGAATGATTCGCGCAGTAATGGAATTGTATTTCGTCTTGATACAGCCAAAAGTTTTTCATATTCGTATCTTTCTGATTAAGTGACGATGGGATTTGATTTAATAAGTCACATTTTCGAACACAAATGGTCCGATAATCTCCCAGCCCGAACGGCTCACGAAACAGTGATAATTTCGTTAAAGGCGATAGTTTTGTATATTAATTAGATCATCAGAGTGAAAATTACCTTCATCGTTGAAGATATCTTTGTTTGGAAAATTAGCGTGAACTTCTTGCGACTCACTATGCATTTACAAACTGTACAAATTGTAGTGACTGTGTTAATAACCCTTAACTGTCAATAGCAGCCACATGGGTCCCATTTTCCGTTGGCAAGGATTTTCAAGATTTTCTAAATAAATTTCCACATTCTAGAATATGGGCTGGGCCTGGATGATTTTTTCCATTTTCGTAGAATAAAAGGGAAATTTATACTGTGTATCTAAGACAGACATGTCCATTGCTGCGACTGTGAATGCTATTATGACCGCAACTAACAGACACATGGACAACCACGTCTAGAACGGTTTACATTTGATACCTAATCAATAGTAGGACCCCATTTTAATAGCAATCGGGATGAAAGAAATTCCAATGCAGCAGATAGCTTCCTTTTTGCGATCAGGAGAATGTTTACCTTAGATATTGCCCAAACAGACGGACATGTTTACATGCGTTTAGAATTTGAAGATGATCGCCAATATATATACTTTATAGGTTCCATAAAACTTCGTTCTGGTTGTTGCGAGTGTTTTGATAAAATTAATATACCTGTCATCGTTGGCTGATGGATAAAAAAAAAAAAAAATTTCTGCTCAACTCACCCTGGCAATATTATAGTATTCGCAAGAAACAAACAATGTTGATATATTTACAAAATGTAAAGGAAGCAATTGTTTAGTTACGTTATTCTCTTCAAACTGGATTTACAAAACTCATTTCAAAGCAAAGATTTAAAATTTAAGATAAGAAGAAATACGGCATTAGACTTTGGACGGTATGGTTATATCGAAAACTTACGTTTGTAATTTACAAACTGTGTAAAGGAAAGGAGGTGGGAAAGGAGTATATAATAAAAAGAACAAGTATGTTTTCTCCATTTTCCATTTTTATAAATGAGAACATGTAACGTTAACATGATGAAGCAAAAGAGCAACAAAGTCAATGGTTATGAAAAATAGCTTAAGGAAATGCACTTTAATGCTTCTCTTTATCTTTCTTTATCGATTTTGTTTTCTTTTTCCTTTAGTTGATGCAGCGCCTCCTATACAAGATTTTTTAACTTTAATTTCTTTTTTTCAGTCCAATGACTTCACTTATCAGAATACACTCGGACGCCGCTCCACATTGGGTGCCTATTATCACATGAATAAACAGCCTTCATATACCAATGATCACAGTTTAAATAGTCAATATGGTTATAATACTTGGGGTATATGGCGTGAAGCTCGAAATTTGGCGCCATCAACATATTCGGCAAAAGCTTATCCTAACTATCAAAAAACCAAATCATTTTCCATCATCTTAACTACCGCCGCATTTATAGTACTATTAGCTGTCATAACCATAGCGGCATTGGCATTTTACTTCAGTTCCGTCAAAGCAGGCCTAGATGAACGTAAGTTAAATCCTCGTCATTTTTACAGCCTTTTTTATTTCCTCCTCTTGACTTCTCTTCTAGCTATTATGGGTTTTGAAGGTTCATTTCGTGTAGCAAAAGGTGATTTATTCTCAACGGGTTTAAAATTTAATCACACTTCATCGTACAAACAGAAGGCTGAATTTTACAAACGTTTTGTAGAAAGAGCGTTAGTAGATAATGGCTTGCAGCCTTTAAGAACAGATATATGGGGTTTCGGCGATGGACCTTTAATTAAAGTGAATTTCCGCATTTTTCTGGATGTAAGAAAATTACCACAGTAAGTTTTTCTATTCCATCCATTCAATGGTCATGTTTCTACTATGACGAAAAATTTTTAGAAGCATACAGAGCGTAGAGGAATACATCAAAGAATCCTTCTTTTTGGAAACTACTTCATTTAAGTCTCTCTACCGATCATTGCGGATTGATTCTGAATCGGTTGATATTAAACGCATACTCGACGAGCAAACAATTAAACATGCAACCATGCTTAAAGAATTGGTAAGAAAGTTACTTTTGTTCTGAAATAAACAGACTGATGATTTAATGTTACTTGTAGCCTCCCGTGCCCACCAGTCAGACGCAGCTCGAGAAACGCTTAATGACGAAAGCAAATAATAACCACTCTGGATTACTCTCGAAGGTTCCTCTTTTAAAGAACAAATCTCGTTCACCGTCTAGACCCCATTCAGCTGACGAAGAACCCGACGTAGATGTGGAAAATGCCCCTGTGATACAGGGCTCGTTTGAGGGGTCATTTGAAATTACCAAAACTGATGCGGATATAGCGCGTAGGAAGACCACTCCCACCAGACCACAAACAAGCGCTAGTAGTTTGCTGCCAAAGACAATAACGCCGTATTCGCTAAGAGTTAAACCGCGCAAACCGGGTATAGAAAAGTTGACTACCATTATACCGCAGTCCCACAGTAGCGCAAAATCTACTAAAGTTACTACCACGGAAAAAATGTCTACTACTACGACAAAGATGACGACCACACCTAAAACTACCGCTACTACGACTAAAACTGTAAGAACAACTACCACTACAACTCCGAAGCCTCTCGCTTTTACCACAACCACCAGCACCAGTAGTACAACGAGTAGTACAACTAGTAGTACAACTAGTAGTACGCCTAGTAGTACAAGTACTGCCGCAGCCCCTACTTCAGTTCCCGTCGCTATTACGGAAATTGTTTCTACTGCTGAGTATATAACTTATCCTTCTCCGATAACTTCTTCCACAACTGTGACGGTGCCAAAATTAGATGCAAACTTATTTGCTTCTATCCCTGTACTCGATACTCAGCCATGGAAACCAATACATCGTGAAGTACCAGAATTTTTACCAGGGCCTCCGCCCACTTTTCCCACCAAGTCCTTAATTTCTACCACAAAAGATATACCGCCACAAAGACGATTAGACGAGATGGAATTACCGTATTTGCCAGATGAGCCGACACCACCTAAGCCTGAATTTTTCGATACTTACTCCTCTAGCTATTTTGGATCATCGTTGAGAAAACCAAGTCCTAGTAATAAGGACACAACTTCAGCTCCGGATGTAATGTTCTATAACAGTTTTAGCAATCCGGCTTTTATGTCTGGATCCGAAAACATAGAACGTTTAGGTGTAGGAGCTTCTATACAACCTCATCCTTTACCGGTGCCTTTAATAGATGAAGTCGTCATACCCCCATTTAAGCCGTTACACCCTGAATTGGAAGCACGGGATAAACTACGCTTTGATATTGATGTTAGCGATGAAAAATTCGAGCACTTGGGTGGTGGGGTTATAGCAAAGAAACAGGAATTACTTAATTCGACTTTCGCTACCAAAGGCAATATGTTAAAAGCTAAAGAAACCGAAAGAGAGACCATAACAATTCCTAGCTCTACTAGTAAAGTGCTGACATCAACGATAGCCTTACAATTGAAGATATCAGAAGCTACCACTACCGCAAAACCTAAGACGGAGACGCAAAAAACGCCTACTGCGTCGTCTGAATTGGCCGATAGTCTAGGAGAATTTTTCATGGGTTTATTGAATTTAACGAAAGAAGATGGAGAAAAAAGTAATGGTAATAAAACAATGAATCGCATAGTGGCTTTGAATATAGAAACTGAACAACCAGATGAAGAACCAAAAGACATTCTGGAAATTGTGACTCTAAAAAATACGAAATCTAATACAAAGGATAGTCAGGAAAATGTTGGAAAGAGCCCTACTCTTAATAAACCGAATTTTTTGAATATCAAAGAGTTGATCTTAAAGAGAAATCAAATAAATTTGGAAAGGCAACAAAATCAGACTAAAAGTATAATCGCAACTACTAGTACTGCAGAGCCGAGTGAAAGCCTTACACAGATTATTTTACAAACTACATCAAAACCTTTTACTAGTACAAGCGTGAGTACATTAAAAAGCACTACTAAGCGCATACGGATTAAACCAGGTTACGCAAATAATAAGCCGCCCACGATTTTAGACGATTCTGTCCTTTTCCCTTCGCATTCAAAATGGGAGTTCGTAAACAGTTCCTCTAATTCAAATTTCGGTCATACTGGGAATATGCGTAAAATATTTAATCAAACTTTGCAAGCCTGGGTCTCCTTGGACGTAGATAGGAGCGAAAACTTAACTTTAAATGATATTAAAAGCAAAATCAATAATGCCACTAATATTCAGGATATTTCATTAATATTTGATACGTTGGCATCGAAGCTGGGAATAACACCCAGCATACCTAACAAGGTGCCACCTTTTTCGCATAACAAGTTGAAGCAGACATTGAAAAATGACACACGTTTAAAAGCGAACACAACGACAACAAGAATAACAATAGCAGCGAATAAAACGCCTACGTTAACGACTACAACAAGCCCGACAATTACAACTACCACCTCTAGAACCACGACACCGATCTTTACTACTCCTAGTACTTCAACGTTACGTTACGAAGAAGTATTTTATAACGAAAAACGCGAACCTGATTATGTTAAACCTTTATTGGTGGAAGACACATCAGCTGAAGTTATCGGGGCTGCTATTCCCGTAGTAGGAGAAGCAGAAGTCGAGGTTATCGATCCTAACAAATATGAAGAGATGTTACGTTCATCACAGTTTGCTGACGTTTCTACAACCGAAATTTTGCCTAAACTAGTAACTCTATTACCCGTACGTTCAAATTCGGGCATCAGAACATACAGGCCAACATTAGAAGACACAGCACGCAATTCTGTTGGTCTAAGCATTAATAATAAAGGGGTTAATTCTACAAGTAGCAGAAGCAGCAATAGAAAAACCCACAATTCTCGAAAACCGCCCTCTGAGACTGTCATTAGAGGAGGCTTAAAAGTTAAGATTAAGTAATCGCTGAGGAAGAAAGGAAAGCACGGACAAAATTGTCGATGAACCGACTAACAAATGGAGATTTAAAGTTTATTAAATATTATGTATCAAAATTGTGCTGATGTTGTCCTGATGAGGGCAATCTCAGAATGACTTTGATGTTGTGTATGAAATTTTGCAAAGGAATTTATATAATTTTAGCTTAATTTTATTACGAATTATTTTTACTAATACGAACTTCTAAGATTTTGGTTTATATAAATTTTTCTATGAAAAAATTCTCTTTTAAAGCTTAAGATAAAAGAAAAAAAAACGTGAAAAAATTTATTTACAATTTTTTTTAGAAGAAGCAGAAAAATTGAGTCCACGATTTTTTGATTTTAATTCAACTAAATGTTAATATTCAAACACAAAATCACCGACCGCCCTATTTCAAGTAAGTCGAGCTTCAACGTAAGTATTTTTACTGGGAAATTAAAACAAATCGTTGGTAGGTAAGTTATCACTGGAGATATGAAACCCATAATATAGAAAGTCAAAATTTTTATGTTGACACAATCATATTCGATTGCCGGTCCAACCGTCTATCTGAAAGTTTTATGCATCTTCAAGGCAGCCAGCATTGATGCAAGAATCTGAAAATATTACATCTCGAACCTATTCGACATATTATGAATGCGGTCTTTATAATGGCACGGTAAGTGACCACTGAAAGAACTTTGAAGAAAAAAGGCAGGAATGCAAAATAGAAACATTTGTAAATTTTAATTGACCGATCATCATGAATTTGTGCACAAGAGTGCGAACTGTTTCGATCTAAACCCATCTTGCGCAGACTTGCGGTCGGCTTGCGACGACCTGTATCGATTTGTGCGTCTTAATTACAATTGTAATTGGCGAACTAGAAGATAAGCGAATTAATTGTAATATAGAGCCTAGACTCTAGGGTTTGGCACGGATATGAATTTCGTGTGAGCTGGTCTGAATGGCCGTCAAGGCTTTGATTGATCGGCTGGCACATCCGTTACCTAAAAAGCTTTCAGTTTCTCGGATTTATCACAGGTAACTGTTTACTTCCTTGTTTACTTCCTTCCTTCTGTTTCGAAAATTTGAATAAGCATTAAAGAATAAAACAGGAAGAAGCGATTCTCTCTGATACAACAAGTCTTCCTACGTAAAAAAGTTGATGCCTTTAACAAGAAACGTTAAGAAAAATCAGCAATCCAATGGTTTTTAAAAGTATTTGTAAAACAATTTTAAAAAAAGCTTTATGTTGAGTAGTTTTCGGAGCGACTCATTAGCCGAATTGTAATTGAAGGAATTAATTCGACTGATTTATATTGGTTTGAATAATAGAAGTAGCACCAGCCACCTTTACATGGGAGTATGTGTGTATACAAATCGACTGAATGATATCAATAGGAACAGATGTCAATCTCTGTAGGGCTTTTTCAATATAACAAAAACTAAATTTTATTAACAAAAAAAGAAAAGATTTGGAGAAAAAGCTTAAAGCCATTTAAAACTATTTTTTGTGAGATGTCCTGGCGGATCTGAGATCAAGCCTACCATACACCGGTCTTATTTTAAGGAAATGAATGATATTCCTATCTCTTCATGGCCCGAGCGCACGCGTCACGTTTAAAACCATGAAACCATTTGCGGATTCTAAAGTGATAGTGAGATAAAAATTTCTTAACAATTGAAGCTCGAAACTTTACCTGTGCTTTTTTCGATACCATAGGTTTGAAGCTGAGCCGTACCGCAGGTCACATAAGTTTCCGTCCGATTGCCTTATAATTTTAATTCTAACTAAAGTTCACTCCACAAAGCTCGCTAAGTCAATTATCAGAGACTTTTTAGTTTACTATTTTGCAGAGGAAATTTTGAGACGTACAGTGGCACCGCAAATTTGTTTGAGCCTTGTGTTTTCATAGAATGGAATATTAAAAGACATTTATTAGCATTTTCTTAAATAAGTTTTTAGTGAACAATAGCTTAAAAGGAAACTCTATTGTTTATTAAATGCTTTTTCTCCTCTTTATTTTGTGAAACCTAAGCTAGAATTAATTTTGAATAAAATTATTCAATATGTCAATTCACAAGTGCCGATTAAATTTCAATATTACTTCCCAGTCCAAGACTAACAATTAGCCTTTCCAGAGTGTGTAATAAACGATTATAAACTCTATAGTTTTCCAAAGTGATATGTGTTCTTGTTCTTTTCGCTTTTATATTAAGATTTTTTTCTTTCGCATTTAATTTATTGATCCTTAAACCGCATTCTCTTTTAATGTTTAATAAGTCAAGAAGTCAAGCTATTCAGCTATTCAAACAAGAGTGTAAATGTTATATGGAATTTTGTCAACATTGGTGATGCTTACAAAACTAGCATACTCTAGATTTCTTGTTCTATTATGCAAAATCTAGCTAATTAGTATGCTAATACAAAATGCATAGACACCAGCAGCCATAGCAACGGCAAACAGCAAACAGTGGAGGTGCAAGTTTTCTGGGAAATTTCAAGTGTAAGTTAAGCATAAATTTTTGACACACAAAAGTTGAAACAAAGGAAAATATGATATCATTAAATAAGAAAGTCGGAAGGAGATAAAACAGAACACATATATATATATATATATATATATATGTATATATATATACATGCACGCAGCACACCAAATGTCACCATTTTATCCTTACCCTTATAGTGAATACACTTGCTTACCTAAAAAAAAAAAAAAAAGGAACAAAAAAAACCTGATTGTCTTTGGGGCCCTCCGAAAAACGGGTAAGCAAGTGCGGGAATTCTAATGAAAATCTCGGCATTGATGTTGAATTCTGTTCTATTGCTTTCAACCTCATGCTCTTTGCCTTTTTCAGTTCGTTTGTTTCGCTTGATTGTCTGTCTCTCTTTTGTTTGTTTGCCTCCCCTTTTATACTTTCGTACACCGTATTGCTAATTAAGTGTAAATGCTTACATGCAAATATCTTACAAGTTTTCCTTTGCTACTAAGAAGAATAAATAAAGAAAAAGACGGATAAAGTTTCTTGCAAAAGGAGCGAATAGTTTTTTATTCTAAGTTAGATTTTTACTATGACAACCAAATGAACATAATGAGACAAAACCATAAATGGCTGATAGTGTTTGGGTTGCTAAAAATAATTTAAATATTAAGACCTAGAAAGAAGAAAGAATTGTTACGGAAGAAAATGCTTTATTATAGCAAAGAAGAAGCTTAACAAGAAGATGTTTAAAGAAGAAGAACTATTATTATGAATGTGTTAAACTTTTTATAGTAACTTTCATACGTTAAGAGTTTAATTTAAAAATTTAATAACGAAAGAAGTAATCTTGCTAGCTTTTCGTATAAAGCCAATCAATGTATGCGTAAAATTTACCCTCGGTTTCGTATATGCATTTTAATTTTCTTGCAAGAGACCGGGAGACCTTGGTAGGTTCGGATATTTTCTATGGTGAACCAAGAAGCCACATTAATAGGTTGGTAGCGCAACACAAATGAAACCATTTGAAGCGAAACGCAAGACGACGGCAACTGAAGAGATTTATAAAATCTTCCGGTACAGAAAATAAACTTTACTCGCGTATCACTTGAAAAACGTGAGAGCCTTTGATACCGATTCATGAAAATTGTGTCAAGGAGTGAGCAAAACATCCCAACGTATCCTACCCGAACGCGAGGCTATATGTACACACCGGCGCACTATCGAACACTCATACCAGATACGGTATAGTGTTCCAAATCAAAAAATGTGCTGTTATTCACAAGAATTCTAAAACTGGATTGTTAGGACCATGGGTGAGTACAATAAACATTTTAGGTGTCGGTATGGATCGTCCACACGCTACATATATAATAAAAAAAGTATATGAAATTTGTTTTAAGTGCAAAGAACAATACTTAGCTCAAAGCGCTACTTCAGAGCAACGAGAAAAGTGTTCTACAATCCAGACATTGCTGATGAACACACTTTGAAATATCTGACTATTTTCAAAATGGGTTGAAATTGTATTGATTTCAAATTTTAAGGTGAAGATAAGAAGGTTTTGAATGAATTTCAAATCGTAAGCTACTTAGTATGAAAAAAGTCGTGACTAAGCTAATGATTTGATTTTTTCTTGATTTTTGTGAGAGCCTCATATACACCGGCAAAATTTTAATATCCAAAACGTAAGGATTATGCAAAGGCAGTATTCTCACTTCGTTTTTTATATAAAAGAACGCGCATCACAGGGTCTGAATAATTTGTTTACCTATTTAACGAGCGAACTTTATCCTTGTCCGTCTGTCCTCATTGTCAATGGTTTTTTCTCGAAATACTTACAGATTGTCATTAAAAACGGGTCACAACGCCCACGAAAACGTAAGGCGTAAAACAGAGTTTGATCCATACACTACAGAAGAGCTTAATATTATGAAATATTTATTATTATTTCGAAACTCTCAAGCTTGGCACATTGATTTTCTGAAACCCTTCAGTTAGTTTAGTCTACAGATAGAATTTAAAGATGAAAACATACTAAGAAATATGAATAATGTTTAAACTTTAACTCACATACTGAAACCAACAACAAAGTAAGATTTAAAGCAAAATTTTATGGTGATCGCTTGAAAGTTTGGTGGAAAATTGTTGCATCTGGCACGTTCGCAATTAATTATTCATTTACTAAAAAAGAATCTTTCGATTTTTTTTTTAGTTTTTGCGCTTGTTGTTTTAGGCAAAATTCAAAATTTTCTTTTAACTCACATACAAGTTTTAGTCTTACTATGGAAAGGTATTAGTTACGTCTAACTCTTGTTAAAATCTAATTGTAAACAAATATGTTGACTTTCCATAAATTCAGTTGCTTAACTATTGCAATTAATCTCTGGCCAATCGTTGAACATAAATTTCAAATTTTTGTTCTTTTTCGTGCTACTACTCATAATTTTTTTTGGACATATTATATTAGTATTTGAGATAATATTACAATTATTGCACACACAAATATATTTCGT